AGGGAGAGATTTTTTTTTCTCTTTTTTTTATATAAATATATACTAAACTGTAAAAGGAAAGCCAAATTTTTTTTTTTTTTTTTAATTTTAATAAAGCTGAGGTGGATCAAAAGAGAATGTAAAGTTTCTATGTTTTCATTGTAATTGATATTCAACATGAGAAGCATGAATCAAACTATAGAATGCTCTTATTTTACTGATATTTCACTTATCTTTCAACCAATTTACTCATAAAAGGAGCCATATTGGTAGCATAAACCATTCCTAACAAAAATTCATAAATCTATAGCCTGGAATATACACAACATCAAGATTCACATACACTTGTAACATCTTCGACGCTACTGAAACTTATCGAATACTAGAGCACAATCTTAAATACAAGTTTCTCTAAGCGTCAAGCTTCAATGGCCATACTCGCATCAATGCAATTATGCAGAAAAGGTCCATCTAATAGTGTAAGATAAGGAGACATGCTTCACAATTGAAATATAAACTAAATAAAGTCATCCAGCATGGTTATGAGCTCATTCGCCACATGACATCACACATGCAAAATTACAAATATTTATAGAACTCATCAATACGGGAAATCATGCTTTATGCCTTAACAGGGAAAAGATCTATACTCCACATGCTTATTTAACCCCACAACAAAAACACTCTCCATCCATTTCACTAAGAATCTTAAAATGAAAGAAGATATCCTTAAAACATAGCCTTTTGAGTAGACATGTTAAAGCATAATCATGACATTTTGAATCAAGTTGTCCAATACAATCCACATAAGGTATGCCCATTCATATGTCCGCACGACAATTGCTAATAACCATGAAGCACAACGATCTTTCATAAGCAATAATAATGTAAATATCTTCATAAGACACCATGTGAGAGGTATTTCTCAATCGGATTTAAGCAAGAGTGGAAGGTACCAAACATAGAGAAGAAATATCAAATGGCATTGGAATCTCTCCAACAACAATCCATGCTCATGAGAATCTTTGATTTGAAAGCATGCAACTCTTGTGTAGCCGTGAACTTTATGAGATACCACTAATTTAAGGTTCCAACATAAATCAAAACATCATAACTCTCCTATAACAGCATTTCATCAAACACTTGGCATGCGATGCTTACAAGATTATACATAAGAAAGTCATCACAAAAGTCATGGTATATATACACCTATTCGATCAAAGCTTCTTCTAAATAACTCATAACAGATTTCTCATAATCTGTATAGTGATTATCCACTTAAGGTGTCACATGAAAGTTTGTTCACAAATACTGTACATCACCTTATATCCTATGGCATTTATGAGAGCAAGGGTAAACCCAATGAAACCTTAGCAACTTCAAGAAGAAGATTGCAGTTACATCTTTCCTGAATTCTCATGAAGATGAGAAAGCAATCAACATTTGATAATATCACCACTTTTTGAGAAGAAGGAAACCAAATCTACTATCATCATTACATCCTTAGCAAGAGAGACCCGATGAAGAATCAGATTCTTGCTTATCTTAATAAAGAGGACTCACAATATCTATCATTCACGATATCAGGGAAAATAAAAGATAAATTTAACTCAAAGGGTACATCATAGACTTTAAATCAGATCCATCGTGGCTTCTTGCTAGGCTTTGGGGAAAGAAAAGCAACCCCTCTCAAGAGAAAGCCAAGAAAGAGTTAAGGCCACTTTAATCCACAATACAAACTCATTCCATATTTCAGATAATCACAAAACCTCAAACCATTCATCAACCCTAGTCATCCAGCTCAAAATAAAGAAAATGGTGAAGATAGGGCAAGAAGGTAGTGAAAGAAATAGAAGAAATCAGTGAACGAAGGGAAGATGAAGAAGGGAAATTAGAAGGAGAAGAAGAAGAAGAAAATGCGAAAGTGATTACCTGCCCTAGCGAAGCATGATAAGTTTGGGTTGAGGCAAGGAGGGCGGGTGAGTCCGACGACGGCGCCAGTTAGGGTAGCGTCGAGTCGGAGACGGTTCCGTCCAGGTCGAGCTCCGCCTGAGGTTCGCGAACAGAGAGAGGGAGGACGGAGGGCGCTCGGCCTGGCTTCGTGCAAACAGAGAAGAAGCGGAGAGAGGGGGCTGCTCGGTCTAGCTGGGTCGTGTGAACCAGAGGGAGCCACGGAGAGCTTCGCCCGAGCTATGTCACCCGAGAGAGGAGCTTCGACTCCTCTTGCTTTTGCGAACTGAGAACCAGAGGCCAAGGCAAGGGCTTTGTCCTTTTGATCTTTGCAAAACCAGAGAAGTCCAGAGAGGGGTGCCTCGTTTCTTCTGGGATCTCCGAACTAGAGGGGGGCGGGCGTGAGATGGAGGCTTTTGGCCTCAATTAGGGCACCAAGGGAGAGGGGGTAGATCGGAGCCATCCGATTAAATTATTGATCCAACGATGGGATTCAAATTGGCTTAGAAAATTAATCATGTTTTGATTAGGATTTAGCTACACTCAAGGGAAGAAATCAAGTTCAGACTGAGTCAGGTTTGGTTCACTTCGGGTCACCTGGAACTCGCCTCGACTCGACCCAAAATTAATTCAATAAAATAAGATAAAATAAATCAAACTCAAATCAATGTCGATTCGAATTGAATCGGGCTCAACAAGGCTCGATCAACACAATCAAACACACTCGATGACAAATCGGGACAAAAACGAGGTCAACATAGTGTAGCCCTAAAGACACCAGCAATGGCAATAAAGGGCTAAAGGCTGGTGGTGGGACAATAGGAAAAGTGGATTAGTTACCCATCGATCTATCTCCCTCTCGGTTCTCAAGGGAAGATGTACATCTTAATTATGTAAGAAACTTAAAAAAGAAAGATGTATGTTTATTTTATTTGACTATTTTATGAACTATTGCATATGAAATGGTGAATACCCATTGAGTTTACATGATAAACTCAACCTATTAACCTAAAATTTCATGTCAGTCTCCAGAGAAATAGAAAAAGTTGAAAGAGAAGAGGAGTATGTCTACAGAAGACGTTGCACAAATACAAGCAGGTAATCTATGGTTTTTGTAAATGTTAAGTATGTGAAAGATTTTATTAGTAGTTTGATGGAAATTTTTCTAGTGGCTCTTCAATATTTGTGGATTGTTATAAATTATTGTTATATGTAATTGTAATAATTGTATTAATCGTCCGATTGTCAATTCCCGCTTTGTTAAATTCGAGTATTCGAACTGGGTCGTGACATAAACGATAATTAACTTATTTATGGTCACCATATAGTTAGCAATATTCACCTTAATAATTTTGAGTTTCAAATCTCTATCTAGTACTATCCTTGCTGCATTCTTATTTTAAACCTCCCTTGCCTACAACTTGTCATAACCTTCCCTTATGTCTTTGAATTTTCCCGTCCATCTAGGTTTTTATTAGCACATGATAAATATACTTTGTCTAGTCATTTTGTCTTCTATTATTTTGGTCTTCTAATATGAATTCCTCAAATTTAATGTGTTGAATCCAAAATTATCTGGAAATTACACTCAATTATATTGATAATAAAGAAATATATATAAAAAGGAAGAATTTCAGGTTGAGAAGCTTTGAGATTTCTGTAAAATAAGCTTGAGTACAAGAAATTATGTAAACTGAGCTCTCCCTCAACTCCCTATTTATAGATTTAGGTTGAGGCTTGAGCATTATAGAATTGGCTACACACATGACTATACAAAAAATAGAGAAAAATACTATAATTGGGTATCGTCCAATTAAAACGTTCAAATTGATAAAGTCATTTGTTGATCTTCTAAGAAGTCACTCGGCGTGTATTAATGATTAAATAGTTGAGTAGCTGATCAATAGTTACCTTTGGGAAGTCATTTTTCTTTGAGTAGTTGCTTGGGATGACTTCATAGTTTTAGTCGCCAGGGGTAACCGATGGGCAGTATTTTCTAGGTGAGACAAGTTTTGAGATTGTGAGTTCTCATGTAGACTAGCGAGTTTCTTTTAAACTAGAACCTCGTAAACTGAGTTAGCTTGGCTAGAATTGGTTGACTTGGCATAAATTGAGTTATCTTGATCTTTGGATGACATAATGTAAAAAAATCTAATTTTAATTTTAGATTTAGTGCCAGGTTTTTAACACAATTAGTTTAAGTTATAGCGCATCACTTACCTGCAGTCCTAGGCTCCTAGCAAACATTAGCATACTTTTCACCATAGCATATTAAGCTGTAGTACATCATTTATAGGCGATTTCGTAAGAAGCTCTTGCCCACTACTCTCTATTTAATTAAATCAGATTAGGTCTAGATACATCACTTCTAGAGAATGCTGTATCACTAGCAAGCATTAAATTTGAATTCATTTTGTGAAATGTTTTCATATAACATTAACCCTCAACTTTTTTCATCTAGCTTTGAGATATGCAATGATAGTTTTTTAGAACCTTGAAACTATTGTTTCCAATATTATCTTTCTTTAACTTTGGTCTAATTCATTTTAAGTGCACCAAAAGATATTTCCTTTGGTGCATCATCCTCAATATAAGTTCCTCCAAGAGAAGGAACATTATTCAAATCCTTGTGTGAGATAAGGCTGTTGATGGCTTAGTAGGACATAGAAGTGTTTGTGCTTCATGGCTCAGCATACTCAAGTTAGAAAGATTGTAATGTTATGTAATGACTTCTAGATTAAATTTGCTCTTGTTTATAATGTTTCAGATTCCTTCTCTTTCTTGCTTGTTCCTCAAATGTTCTTCATCATCACCTATGTGTCATCTTCAGCCTACTGAATTTGCTTCATATGACTTTGGCAACCTATGTAGCTCAATCGATCTTCTTGTTTCTATTTTTAAATTTCAATTTTCATCAGGAGCATATTTATTTCACCATTTTTAAAGAAAAAATATTGTCATTAAAAATTGTCCTTTTTCTCTGGTGCCTAATACTGTGCGCCAGTTTTGACGTGTCTATATTTTGCAGACTTATATGCTTATAAAGTTTGAGATCGTTGAGTAATTTTCAGGTTCCATGCCTCCGAGATAATTATGCATATCTATTGCATGATTTGGACACCGGTACAGTTGGAGTCATCGATCCCGCTGAAGCTTTTCCTGTCATAAACGTCCTAACACAAAGAAATCAGAATTTAACATACATACTGAATACTCATCATCACTATGATCACACTGGTGGGAATATGGAGTTAAAAGAAACATATGGTGCAAAGGTAGGTAACTGTACTTTTGCAAAGTTATATACTGAATATTGAATTGGCTTGTTTTTCCTTGCATCGATGAAATTGTTCTTGTTTGCCCAGTTCCTCTTGAAATGGTTTAAAATTGTTCCCGAGTGAAGTCATTGAGTTTCTTCAAAATCTCTATCAGCTCTAACTTGGATTGATAAAGATCTTTTGCTTAAATCAACAGAAGTAACTAGATATTAGGAGCTGTGTGAAGGTTATGTGGGGAATTCATCAATTGAAAACTGGGTAGATGGAGCCCTAGACTGTTCCGGAGAAGATGGGAGGGAGGAATAGTGAAGCGGGAGAGACAGATAATAAGAGTGAAAAAAAAAGAAAAAACAATGCTAGAAGCTGTGTGGACCTCCAAAAGAGCACCGCGCGAACGGGTCAATTGGAAGGGACAGATTGGATCGTGCATACGACTAACCATTGAGGATAGCGGCTCTCACCAGCGCACCCTAATGAGTAGTAATATACACGACCTAATCACGGGTTTCCCCCACCCGATACAATAGTTCGAATGATGTTTAGTAGATGTGGGATCGAGTTTCCCATGGGCGCAAGCCCCCGTTGTTAATTATATCTCAGGCCGGAGCCCGAGAAAACTCTCGATTAAGGATCATACATTTTCCTCTCCTAAAGTGGGATTAACACGAGAGTATAGACTAGGAAATCCTACTCAAAAGGAAGAAAATGTCTCAATGGGCTAAATCCACATGCAAGGTTCACACCAGCATTCGGAGGGATTGAGGCAGTTGAGGAGGAAAAGAAAATCATGCACTCAAAACATACAGAGAGAGAGGATAGAAGTGGCGTCATCTACGCAACGCGGATAAGCAGGATTTGTAGTCCCTGAAGAGAAGGGACATACCCACTATTTATGCATACTACGAGACACCCGATGTAGTAGCCTTGAACCCTAAGTCTAAGATGACTTTAGTATTTTTTTATGACTTAGAATATTACCGATTTTATTGATTAGTCATTAATAGATTAAGACACGAATCCTAGAAAAATATGTCATTAAGTTTTCTATGTTTTAAAGTCTCTATCCTAAAAGGAACATACACCCTAAGTCTATGTTATATAAGACTCAGTCCTTAATTTTTGTCCTTATGTGTTACTAAAGTTATTGGACGAAAAAAAAGTTTTCTAACCCTTAGAACAACCTCGCAAGACACAGAA